TAACAGTTGCAGTGCCACTTCGAGCTTCAAATCGCAAAGATCTGAGGGGCACTGCCACTGCGCCCGTCACCCTGAGACATTAGTTGACAAGTCCCATGTGCCTGTAATTTCTACTGCTTGGCGGCAGAAATAGGTGATGTTTTGTGTTAATATAAAAAATAAGTGTTTTCAATTATTTTTTGTGGTGGTGGGCATTGGAATTTCTTTATCTTGCCAAGTGGGCGGTGAGCTAAAAGGTTTGGGAACCTATGTGGTAGCACATAGGTGCTACATTGACGTAATTTTTACGTTAATATATTCAATTTTGCCAAAATTACAATTACTTCAAAGTAGCACCAAATGAGCGATGTTTAGAAATAAAAAACATTTTGCGGTCACTTCAAAACAGTGTATTAATGATAGGAACTTTATGTTAAGAGGTTTTAGGTATTTTAAAAAAATCCTTCCTTTTAATACCGCACGGACCATTATCAATGGTCAGAAGTGGACGTTCCAAATGAAGAGATAAATATCTACACTCTAGCCAAATTCGATGTAGAATATTTAATAACAAAACATTTCTACGCAACCAATGTTGGCATATTAAACGAACATTTCTTTCAATGCTCATTATTAAGGCTTGCTCTGCCCACGGCCAGGTAATTGAGTTATGTAGAAGTCATTCTTACCTAGCCAATTATTACAAACTTTACAAAATACCTATTGATACGTATGATTTAGGAATAAAAATAAATGTTTGCATAATGGTAAATAATAATAACGCACACACTCAACATAGCCCCACATTAGGGAAACTCTGTGTCGCAGGTGCCATGGACGCACATATAGGCAACCACAAATTACACCCAAACTCACGAGAGAAATAAATGTAGATCATACAAATATTGCTCCCGGCCCGGGAATCGAACCTGGCACCTCTGCGTGGCAGTCCAGCATGGTAACCGTTCGGTCACGGAGGCAGTTAACTTAAATAGCAGTTAAAGATAAAAAGAAACAAAATTGTAAGATTTTATTTGATATTAATTTGCCACATATTAAATCATCCAGCATCTATTTCCGATTCTGAACTTGAATTACCACCAGAACTCGAATGTTTGCGATCTCTCCCTTCAAATCAAAATGTCACTAGGGATGACATAGTTTTGCAAATAATTAATTACTGTTAATTTTTATGTGATTTGATACTTCTGTTGAATAATATTCATTATAAATAAGACTTCAAGATTTAGTATTATCCATAATATAGATGAATTTCGGGGGAAAATATAGAAATTGTGCTAACTGTGAGAGTCTGTGATGAAAACCCTAAAAATCATGTTTTGTTTGTTGACATTTATTCTACATGGAATTTGGCTAGAGTATACATATAGAGGGTACAAGGAGTGACATAGTGTGGTTAAAACCACTAAATATTAATAACGTACCTGAGATGCAGTGGGACGGGGGCTGGTTTAAATTCCATGAATTTAAAAGAATCTATAATTATATCCTCATTAGTTAAAACAAGCTTGTTTGACAGAGCGGCCGTGGCCATCACAGAGTATGTTAGTTAGGTGCTGATGTGGCTAGCCTCACGACATCTCGCCATTTCTCACTGTTAGTGGACTCCCTCGTGCACTCATACTAATAAATAATTATTCACTCAGCTTTCTAAGTGAATAATTATAACCTCCGATGCAGTAAAACTATTTCTGGAAATCCAAAATTCGAAAAGATAATAATTTTGGTATAACCATCGTCTTCTAGCAAACTTACAATTATTAAAGCGACATCTCTAGTCAGCTGCTGGTAGCTGTGAAGGTACCTGGCTGAGTGAAGAAATAGATTTCTTACAGATGGCGCTACGGCAAAGTTGTTAAAAACCAAAAAACAAAGATCTGCAACAAGCACATAGAAAAATTCGTAAGGTTCGCTGGTTCGTTCCGTGGCTTAGTTGGCATAGCGTCTGCCACGGATTGCCGGAGGGTGCTGGCTCGAATCCAGCCGGATTGAAGGGACTTTTTCCAAGTGTTCAATCTTTGTATGAATAATTACTTACAAGAAACTAGTGGAAAAATTTCACAAAAAAATTAATTGAATATCATGGTGGTGAAATATCCCGACATTCAATAAACTTAATATTTGGTGGTTTTAATTACCCTATGTCACTCCTTGTACCCAAAAGTAGACATTAATCTACTTATTTAGAACACGCTTTTCCTACCACTGACCATTATGCACACCAAATATGCACTTAACAAGAAAACAATAATTTTATTAAACACAACCTTATTTCACTTGGCTTCCTACGGATAGGAGACCTTAAAGTGAGAACTCAAGGTCTAGTTTTCGTACAAAAACTTAAGGCGCCTTCAAATTAGACGCTTATAGAAGCGCGGCAGTATCGCGTCTGTAGCGCAGCCGCCGCTTAATTCTCATACAATATCCAGAACACCAGTCGCAGCGCCACTGTCGTGACACGCAGCCTCGGAAAACAATGTTTGTTTTACCTAGTAAAGTAAGATTTAGAACCTTGCGTAATTTTATTAATTCAGAGTCTATACTACCTCAAATGGCTTTGGTTGATTCCGCATAACAGTGAAAGCGTCGAATATTAAATTAAATATCGAATATTAAATTAAATATCGAATATTAAATACTTTTGGAAAAAATATATAGTAAAATTTAGGATGCACACTGTTTAATATACAGTGTGAAAACACGATTCCTACAAATTTTTACGTAAGTAGTATCCATTCTTAATTGCAAGCTAAATTTATATAGTTCACGGTATTGGTGATCTGAGTTCTTGTACCGTCATCTGACCACAAGAAACAGTTCCCGTCAGAACTTTTACTTTTGATTAAGTCGCGCGCCACTTTTGCAAGCAGTCATAATTAGTGAAATATAACGTACTGCAGCGTTTCTACAAGCATCTAATTTGAACGTTACACACACCATGTCCAAAATTGTTTTGTACTAAAATGTTAATTTTTAATTTGTGGCAATTATAAACATATGATATTTGTCGCCCGCCGCGACTGTCGCCTCGTGTGAGAAAAGGCTTACGTGTGCCTAGTTGCTGCAATTTGAAAGTACAGAGTACGTCAAGACTGACACTAATATTTAAATTCAACTCTATACCAGTCGCGTTAATAACAGTCTAAAGTCTCAGTCTTGATGTGCTCATCACTGTACTACGTACGCAAAATAGATTTTGTAGTCATTCCATGGAACATGACTTTTAATTACAGTTCTTTCCTTCAACTTTTAAATTTATACGTCTCAATAGAGATGTATTCAACATTTTTAAATAAATAAAAAATAGCATTCTTAATTAAAAATTCGTCGCCCTCCTGTGAATAAATCATAATAATATAGTCCCTCTTTTATTAACTAGTTTAGACCTAGTAGCACTAGAGCTACTTGTGAGAGTTCGTCCAGAAAAGTACTGGCACGGTTTGGCGAGGTCGCTGGTTCTAACCATGGCGGATCGAACGAATGTTTCTTTGTGTTCAACTTTGTATTAATAATTATAACAAACTAGTAGTAGTTTCACAAGGATTCAACAAACTGGGCTAAATAGTTTTCCACATAAAGGCATAAAATTTATAAAAAAAAAATTATTGCTTATGGTCTTATTTAAGACCGATTGCACGTTGGCAAAAACAGTAATTTTACAAAAAATAATTTAATTTCATGGTCGTAAAACATTGTGATATTCAATATTATAGATTATTTTTTAAGTTTCAAAGACATTTATAAATATCATTAGTGAGAGAGAAAACTTGCCCGTGTCACCATGGAATGACTTTTTATAATAACACGAAAACAAGCTTTTATTATGTATCTGCATATCAATCACCTAGTGTTAAAGTTCCTTGTACTACAGAGTAATAAACCTTCCGGATGGCACTACCCAAAACTGAACCAATTTAAAACAAGATAGTTCATAAAGTCATCTAAAATTGAACCCGGTCCCGCTTCAATTTTGCTAACCATTGGTCTGCTGTCATCGTCAGCTCTATGCATAAGGTAAGGTCAATGCACTATAAATCAGCTTAATGTACAATAAAATTTGATATTAAACAAAGTAATGTGGCTTTCTCGCTGTTATTCCGTATTCCTGTAATGCTGGTACAAGATCTTCCATGGTCATAACATACTTCTTCTCCTTAGAGCCCTTAGGGTTTTTTGAATTCTGGTTTATTTGGCTAGATGTCCGCATCTTACAGTGCTGTAGGGCATCATTTGCTATGTCCGAGAGGAATTTCTGTGCTGCAATCGCTATTAGACGAATTAGCCTGAAATATAATAAATTAATTACATTTTTTTTTAAATAGCAAATTCTTCAAGGACAGAAGAGTTATTGCATTGTATAGTAAAAATCAGTGGTATGTATATTTTTTTATGGTACCATGTGACGGGAAGAACAAGTAGTGGGTCTGGTGGTCAGCGACAGGCCTGTCCATAACAATTGCAGTGCCACTCAGTTTTAAATCACAAAGATCAGGGGGACACTGCCACTGTGCCCGTCACCCTGAGACCCATGTGCCTGTAATTTCCCTAGCACCCTTATCCTTCAAGTAATGTTCACACTGTTTGGCGGCAGAAATAGGTAAGGTGGCAGTACTTCCCTGGATGAACTCTTTCACAAGGAGCTCTACTGCTGCTATAGGTATATCTCAAAGACTCTCATGACAAGAGGACAGTTTTAAAATTGTTTTTAGGTGTACCCAGTACCACCATGGTAGCCTGATGGTTTGACCTACCGTCTCTCAAGCAGAGGCCTTGAGTTCGAATCCGGGCTTGCACCGTAAGTTTCTCGGAATTTACGTGCGACATTTACTTGGAAATGTATGAGCTTTTAGGTGAAGGATAATAAATCGTTCTGTCAGGGGTCATTCACCAGCTACATCTTCCCAGTAGTTGATTGTGTAAATGTACGGGTGCGCAACCCTGGCACCCCAGCTTCTAATACTGTGAACCTTATTTGTTTATGGACAACTGTATGAAGGAGCTGCGTGAGAGTGATTATGGAGTGCAAATGGGCAAGTCCAGCATCAAGTGCCTCGTATACGCTGATGACCAAATGATCCTTGCGCCGTCAGAGGGAGAGTTGCAAAGAATGCTATGCTAGATATTATGAATGAGTCATTTAGAAAGAGAGGTATGAAGATTAATGCAGAGAAGACGAAAGTGATGGTTTTTGAAAGAAATGAGAACGTGACGGTATGTAAGATTGAAATACAAGATATGAATGTTGATCAAGTGAATGAGTTTGTGTATCTGGGTAATGTGTTTACAAGAGATGGGAAGTTTGATGAGGACATTGAAAGAAGGGTACGAAAAATAAACGCAGTAAATGGAGCCATAAATGGTTCAATGGGGAGCAACATCTTATCCCAAAAAGCACACATGACCTTACACAATGCTTTGCTGGTTCATTTCATTGTGTTGGACGTGTGTTTTCCATACAAACTGAGGTGCTTCAGTACAAGGTTGAAAAAAGCAGCTCTCGCACCGTCGTGAGGTGCGGGGCAGTGTGTTAATCGCCTTATTCAATGATTGTCTGCCATAATTTTACTATTGTTAAGTGGTGTATTATTAACCTACAGGTATGTGACTGCTTGTGGGTATTTCCAATGTTGTTCTCAATGTAGCAGAGGGCTATGGAGGTGGCTTCCAACCCTATTTCTCCAAAGGAGACTCATGTCCTGGGCGATATATATTACAGCCAAGTTAATGCTGCATGTTGGGCATCAAGTTTTAATTAGCGCTGGATAGGACATTAAAATTAAAATCAAGTTATGCTCCGGCCACACAGTGGGAGCAGCAGAAACATTTCAGTGTGGCAGGGTTCATAATAAAACGTACATTACAAAAATTCCCGCGCCCGGCACAGTTCCGTGGCCGCCTCTGTGTGGCCAGAGCATTAGAGTAACTCATTTGAAAAAATGAGGTAGTACAATGTCCTACTTCAAATGAAGTGAGGCAGTGGTGAGAAACAGAGCTTGTGCTTGCGCTTGAGCTTATGCTTGAGGATGCGGGACAATTTTATGAAACGAGGTATTGTGACAAACCAACTAAGCAAGTGGTTATGAAAGAGGTGGCTCATGTATGAGTAGCTCAACACTACTTTTAATTCCCACATAAAAAATTTTATATAGTACACAGCACACAAAAGCCTTATAAGTGCCGTACTTACCTAGGATCTTGAGATTCGAATCCAGACATATTCAAATAATGAGCTACAACAGAATCTGGTATAGAAGGGTTATAGTTCTCTAAATGAAGGAGAAAATCGCTAAGCGCGTGTCCTGCGACACCGTCGTCGTCCATACCGACCGCAGGGGAGTTCATACGGCTCATGGGCATACTGCAAATACGAAATAAATGAAAAAATAAACACTGGAACTTATTTACCACCCATCGAGAACGTTTTGTTAGTCTACGACAAAAAAATTGTAGTTTAACTTACGCCTTAACTTCTATTGGTAATAAAAAACGTTATTTATCTTACTAAGTGCTAAATGAGGGTGTTTAAAAATTATATACAACAAAATTTATAAGAAGTTGACGCTGTGCTTGCTCGTCATTCCTTTCACTAGTTTTGGTACTTTATAAACTCACTTTTGATTAATTGTTTTTTTTTCCTTAATCTTGTTTATTTCTTCTATTGCCCTAAGTAAAAAGGAGAGAGAATATATTACTTCGAGAATATAATGAGTTTTAGATCATTTTGAGGTTAGAATTATTTCGTAAATGTTGGTAGTACTTCATGTACGTCATGTTCGGAGGCCGTGGCGTTTTATAGTATTGAAAATGACAAAGAGAGCTGTGTAGAAATAAGACAGTAGTAAGCTATTTTCACCTTACGGCCTAAATTAAGACAGTTAATTTTGACTGTATTAAAGGAATGTTTACTATACGTACTTCTAAACAGTACGTAACTCAAACGGTGCCACAAAGCATAACACCTTTTCCACAAATGCCTATCGATCAACACAATTAAGCACGGCGAGTACAGTTGCGTTTTGTTCCTATAAAATTTAATTTGACAAAAATATCAATATTGGTAACATAAAATAAGGAAGTAAACTTAGGTCACACTAGTATAACTATTTATAGAAATAACGAACATATACGTTACACGAAAATGCAAAAAACCTAACCAAACATCCAGCAGTTGTAAAAAAATATGTTTTAATAAAAACTATTAGCTTCTCAAAACAGGAGAACAATGATTATCAAAGTATTTTACAATAAATCATTGTAACAAATATACTGAAAATAATCATGATTCAAGCCTATAAACAATTTATTTATTTCTCAGACCGACAAGTGCCAACTCAATAATATAATATACTGCGGGAAAAGTTCAGTCGTTAAAGCAAAATCTAAACGATATCTGCAGACGTCATAGTTGTGTTGCTATTTAATTTTGTTTGCCTTCTTTCAAGCACTAGATTCTATAAATATGTTTAATATTTATCACACCAAAGAAACCCGCCTAAGGCTTGAGCCTTACTACGTAAATTTTGCCTCGCTGTGCGAGAAGGTGCGTCCGGTCGCTGGAATGCTCGAGCATTCTTGCGTCTTGAGGCTGTAGTATTCCGTCGACATTTACGTCTCAGTGCCTGCCTTCGTGCCCCTTACGGCTGGTTCGCCAGGCGTCGCCGACAGCAACTGCGGAATGCTCGAGCATGCGCTAGAATTCTGCGGAAGACGTGCGATGTGATTTTTGGCTCGTATCCAGTTTGTACGTTACACAATTTCATTACGTTATGTACAATATCGTTACAAAAATTCGCTTCCATTCTGTTCCGCCGCAATATAAATTGAGCCTATCTTGACGTCTAGGATCTCAGGACAAGTAGTCAAGATACACGAAGACATGGCCATTAGCCTTTCCAGAATTTTGAATAATTTTCAAATCTTCATACAAAAAAGTTTAAGAAATTCGTTTATCGAATTGCAATCATATGACTTTTCTTTCTACTCGTATAAAATTTGATTATCGAGCTCCTTAAATGCGTAACAGTTATTGTGTTTAGTGATAAATTTTGACATTTTGACATTTGACAGTTACGGAATTTGATGATATTGTCACAAGTGGTATAGAATTGAATGTAAATCATTAGTGACATTGAAGCACATTTTGCATTTATATTAACTCAGTGTACGTACAAAAAATTTAAAATTTTTTTTTTTTTTTTTTTTAACGCTCACATTCAACATAGCCCCGCACTAGGGAAACCCTGTGTCGCGGGTGCCATGGACACACACATAGACAACCACAAATTACACCCAAACTCACGAGAGAAATAAATGTAGGCCATACAAATATTTCTCCCGGCCCGGGAATCGAACCTGGGACCTCTGCGTGGCAGTCCGGCATGGTAACCGTTCGGCCACGGAGGCAGTTAAAAATGAAGTAATATTAACTTTTATTGCCATTTATTCTATACCATTGGCTCATGTCACGCCAATTTGAGCAATTTATACATTTCCTTAATTCATATTTGCAATTATTCATTATCAATGAGAGTGATCAGTGAGTGAGAGAGTGACCATTCTCGTTACTTTTTTATTCTCTATTTTGGTAAAAGGTCAGTGATCTACTGCATTGTTTATATAACACCATTAGAATTACTTTGGCAACCAAAGTCAGTAGTTTTGTCATACAATGCAGTAAAACCATTTCCAGAAATTCCGGAATTCGAAAAAGTAATTAATTAATATTTGGTGGTCTCGAAAATTCTATGTAGCTCCTTGTAGCTATATCTATGCATGTATCTATATATGTAGAACACCTTTTTCCAACCATTGCTCATTACTTAATAGATCTTTATCAGTATTGTACTCAAACGGAAACAAGTTTTATGACGATCGTATTATAGGGGAATATTGCATTTAGTATGACAACCCTGGCCTCGTGGTACTTTTTTTGCTAGGTTGCCACCCTGCCCCTTCCTTCCTTCTTTTGCGCCGCACCTCCCAGACAGAACTGCGAGAGAACGTGATCGATCGAATTTCGAAAAAGGCACACACCTACCCCTGTGCTCTTGCGATCACGAAACAAACGCATATCTCCTGAGAACAAAAATCAGGAGTTCGTGTTTCGTGATAATTACCATTCCGCGAGTGAACTAGAATTTTGTGTCGACGCCGTAATTACTTGAAGAGCACACGTAATCCAACAAAATGTCGGGTGGTTTAGCCGATCCGGTCGCATTCGCGAAGGACTTCCTCGCCGGTGGTATCTCTGCCGCCGTCTCCAAGACCGCAGTAGCGCCCATCGAGCGCGTCAAGCTGCTGCTGCAGGTACAGCACGTGAGCAAGCAGATTACTGAAGACCAGCGCTACAAGGGCATCGTCGACGCTTTCGTCCGCATTCCTAAGGAGCAGGGTCTGCTCTCTTACTGGCGTGGTAATCTCGCCAACGTCATCAGGTATTTCCCCACGCAGGCGCTCAACTTTGCCTTCAAGGACAAGTACAAGCAGGTGTTCCTTGGCGGCGTCGACAAGAACACCCAGTTCTGGCGTTATTTCGCCGGTAACTTGGCGTCGGGTGGTGCCGCAGGAGCCACATCCCTTTGCTTCGTATACCCCCTGGACTTCGCGCGTACGCGTCTCGCCGCCGATGTCGGCAAGGGTGCCGGCAACCGCGAGTTCAACGGCCTCGGCGACTGCCTAACCAAAATCTTCAAGTCAGATGGCCTTGTTGGTCTGTACAGAGGTTTCGGCGTGTCAGTGCAAGGTATCATCATCTACCGCGCCTCCTACTTCGGTTTCTACGACACAGCGCGCGGCATGTTACCCGACCCCAAGAACACACCGATCGTGATCAGCTGGGCTATTGCGCAAACCGTCACCACAGTCGCTGGCATCATCTCCTATCCCTTCGACACAGTCCGTAGGCGCATGATGATGCAGTCTGGTCGCGCAAAGGGCGACATGTTGTACAAGAGCACTATCCACTGCTGGGCGACGATCGCCAAAAGTGAAGGCCCTAAAGCCTTCTTCAAGGGTGCCTTCTCCAATGTTCTCAGAGGCACGGGTGGTGCTTTCGTACTTGTGTTATATGATGAGATCAAGAAGGTCCTCTAAATCATATAAGTTTAAGTAACTTGTTGCCGTAACAAATTTCAACTGTGATTTGAATTAAATCACTACAAAATAGCCGCTCCCCCTGAAATCATGTATTATTAGAAGCGAAATCAAACCTAGTAACTTATTTTTAGTTAAATAAAGCGTTATACATTGATTCCAATATTTGTATTTGTTTCATTAAAAAGTGTTACATAATGACTCCACTTGTGTGCAAAAATTAACAAAATGCAGTGCTGACATCAGAGATTTCATTTTGAATAGTTTCAAGTGTGTTCTAAATGCAAAAAATCTTTATTTTACATTGGTTCCAAACAGATTTTCTGTGATCACTTGTGTGTGCCAGGTTATGTAATGACCTAATTTAGTTCCAACAAATGTATGCCAAGGTTTTAGCTGAAACTATGGATTCTAAGAACTAAAACGACTAAAATCATGTGAAATCTTTCTTGTTACATAATGTGTAAGTGTATTTTGCTGTGATAGTGGAAAATTCACTTCAAGGCAATGTAAAATCAATACCTAACCTATAAAGTGTCTGATAGTGACAGAGACCTTGTACCTTATAGTGTATTTTGAGGTTATTTATGTAATGCTCATTGTTATAAATGCTGTGAAATTGTATTAAATAACAAATCATGTGATCTTGCGAGCTGTTATGTAACGTCAATGCGGTGTGTGAGAACTTAGCCTTATTTAAATTTTCAAAGTGTAGGAAATACACACATATTTTTCTTTTTAAGCAGTACACCTGTGCTTTACGATTGTAATTTAAAAATATTTGTGGATTATAAACCGTTGACTCGGTGTGAATTTTTTTTAGGAAAAAATCACTAGAAGACCCGAGGGCTAATATAGAAATATTATGTTAAAATAATTTGTTGTTTTTTTTTAATAATAATTTTTCATTTCAAGCATTGAAGTACCTACCTCATGATATTCCTGATATATTACAAGTATATATTTGCTTTCTTACATTGCCATGAAGAAATTTTCTGAGTTTTAAGTTCTACTAAATTGATAATCAAAATTATAATATACTAAGTTACTTATGTTTTGCAAACAGCCTTAAAATTCTAATGAAAAAAATATGAAGAATCGATCCATGCTGCCAACTTAGCAATTTATTTCTAACGTCTTCCTGTTTTTTTTAAGTCAATTGACTTTCCTTATTATTATGTGAAGTTTAATTACCAGCATTTTTATTGCGTCATTTCCTAAAACAGAATAATTCCAAAGAACTAACAGTAGGCTACAAATACTATGTAAAATAAATATAACATTCAACCTTTGGACTTCGCCCAAGCACAAAATCATTGAAGGCAATTTAATAATAGAATATATTATACTTTTTAGTTACGATTGGAATAGGGACACAATTATTTGCAAGTACAGTTGACATATTTATGATATAAGTATACATATTATTGCATCAAATGAACAATGACGAACCTTATTACGTCGCATGGCGGGTTATATTCGTATACAAAGGTCAAGTACGATCTGTTATGTAGTAAAACACGTGTAAACGGAAGTTTCGAAATATTCTTTTATGATACCAAGTGAATGGACTAACCCCCGTGTGCGTTGTGTCATACGACACGCTTGTCCATGTTGCAGTACCTCTCACAGCTTTAAATCGCAAACATCTGAGGAGCACTGCTGCTGAGAGACAAGTTGAAAAGCCCCATGTGTCTGTAATTTCACCAGCACTCCTGTCCTTCAAAACCGGAACGCAGTAATGCTCACATTATTGCTTGGCGGCCGAAATAGGCAAGGTGAGTACGTCTCTGGACGAATTCTTTCACAACGAACTCTACGGCTACTAAAATCAAACCCGATTGGTTAGGGTCTATATGAGAATATAACTTCTATTTCTTTACAAAGTTCAGGACGTGTTTGTACAGATACATACTAAATTTCTACACTACGTTTGTAAATGCATCCTGAAGCTTCGCCGTGCCCGTGCCCACAGATAGTTTAATGTTCTAGATGGAACATACAACGAGCTCGAAACAATTTAATTGTAGGTACCCTGTTTTCGTCCATATGTTAACTTTCAAATCATGTAAGTTTTTGATAAAACATGACACAACATTTAACATAGAATATGCCTTATCTAGGACAGTGAGAATCTATGTAGAACTTTTAATAGGCATTTTTTACAAGTTCAATAACTTCAGATGTGTCTTTGTCAGCACGGTGCTACTCATATCGTTACGTTTACCTGAATAGTGAGAAACTTTATCACTGCCTCTGCGTTCGGCCGAACGGTTACCTTGCCGGACTGCCACGCAGAGGTCCCAGGCTCGATTCCTGGGCCGCGAAAGATATTTGTATGGCCTACATTTAATTTTCCCCTGAGTTTGGGTGTAATTTGTGGTTGTCTATATGTGTGTCCATGGCACCCGAAACACAGGGTTTCCCTAGTCCCTAGGCTATGTTGAGTGTGGGCGCTGTTATTATATTATATATATAAAAAAAAAATATTTTTTCCATTACCTAACTGAACATCTTGTTTGTTGTTAAAGAACTATATAGGTAATTTAAATATTAATAATGATAAACTCATATATTTGTCTTGAATACAGTGATACATTTTATAATAAACTCGAACGCGGTGATAATCAGCAAGTCAAAACTGTTTATGACTCAGCGGTCGAGGGGAATCCACGGTCTCTTTTGATCTGCCATAAACTTGTTGAGAGCCTATTTCGCAGAACAGTGAAAGTGTTGTATCAATCACTTTGGAAAAAATATGTAGTAAAATTGAAGATATAGGTACACTGGTTACAGAGCAGTGTGAAAACAGACTCCTAAAAATTTTCTCGTCACAAAAAAACAAACTTCAAAATTTTACAAGAAAATCTCTGTATTCAATAGGTACTTTACATATATTACCAATTATTTTTTTTTTAATATCAACTGAAGTTAATATAACACGTATAGTATACGATATACATTTTTCAAATAGCGTTAATTTCGTTTGTAAAAAAGTAAATTCTGAAATAATTTCAGTCAATTATTGTCAGCGTCTCTGCCGCTCGCCCCAAGCAAAATAAACCGTATTAGTACGGGAAAAATTAGAATTCGAGAGGTAGTATCGACTGAAGTAATGTAATTTAGATATTGATCATTATCAATCCACTCCAAGCGTAAGAACCTGCTATATAAATGGCCATTCGCGACAATATTTACGAAAAGTTGAAAGCGTAGTTGCATTTAAATTGAAAATGTCTATGATAACAAAGTCTGTATGTATCTTCATAGATAATAACGTACATATATGTAATATGGATTATTTGCATTTATTTGAAACCATAATTTTTGTCACGATCTGTCCAAATGGGTTCCACTGTCGTGGATTATATTTCTTCAAATATCGCCTCCAGTAGCGCAACGGAACAAGATCCACCAATGTTTAGCTTTATAAGGAGCCGTCCGTACTACATTTTTTTCGCTGACATTGACCCCTTATAGGTTGGAGTGAACCCCAAGGGGAAACACGTTGGGAATCATCTATGTAGAGCGACAAAAGTCTAAATAGCTGAAAACAATAACATAAATTTTACAATATGTATGAAAATTTCGAGAAATAATATAAACTTATTATGTAGAAAATTTACTCGAGGGCCGTAACTATGGCATCGTGTTCAGAAGGCTGGCAACATTTCCCCGTTGAATAGCTAAACTTATTCTTTAGCGAAAATAACTGCCAGGCTTGTCGTCACCGGAAGCTTCTACGACGCGATCTGCATCCTGATTTTAATTCAAACCGGAATCGATCCGGTCGAGTAGTCTCGAAATCAGATCTGCTTCTGAGCGAGAAGATGAATCTGATTCCTACTATATCTTTCGAATTTGTGAGTTAAATCAACTATTGTTGACAAATTAAAAATGTCCAAGTTTCCGATCGGCCAGTTGTGAATCGCAATTATGCGCCTCGACTTGGAAGAGACGCAGTTTCCGATCGGGAGAGGCAATCAAAATCAAGCTGCTGACACCTCTTTCGCTAGAAGTTTCGCCGGTCGCCCCCAGGGACCCAGGACCGTAAAAGGCACAATGCTGTAGCACTGAGCAAGGTTAGCGTATTTGACCCTCTCGTTATTCATTATCATCAATTCTTCGGTCAGAATGTGCCTAAGATACTTAAACTGTGATACATGCAGCAGTGATACATGAGTAGGGTCTTTATTCCTCCCTTGATAATTATAAACTCGCTTAAATTACATTACACTTCACACTTGTTCCACAGCATAAGCTTCACATACCCCTAAGAGCTGAGCAGTACCATGTCGTCAGAGCGTAACGTATGTTATTACAGTGACTTCAGCTATACGGCAGCCGACATGCATACTGTTCAGAGGTTACTCCTCCTTATCTAACACCATAATTTAATATGTACGTTCATTAGAATGTAGTACGTTTGCCATACGTTTGCCCACGGAAGAAAGAAAAGAATATGCGGTCTGTGCGTTTGCCCATTTATAGAGGTAGTGAGGAAACCCAATTTTTGAATTCTCAATTGTGACTTGACATATTTGAACTTTTCTTCTACGAGATCAAGTGACGGGACGAACAAGTCGTAAATACGCGTTTACACGTTTACGCATTTACAACGATATTTTGTGAACCGATTTCCATGATTCTTTTTTTTTTGTTGGAAAAAGAAGTACCTCAGTTGGTCCCATATACATTTGAAGAAAATATTCCATCCGGCTTATTGAATTTCACCCGCTTTCCATTAACCGGTTTTAATGAAACATAGCACACAGATGTAATTCCAATGAAAAAGAAAACACAACGAAGCAAATTTTGAATGTCGGATTTTTATATATTATCATTATTATTTCGTAATTCCTTCTTCCGCGTTAAATGGCACAAACACTTATCCTGAATGGCCCAGTCAGAGAAAAATGTTGTTAATCTATGGGTACAATAACCTATTTCGTATCAGAAGCAGAAGCTATTATATGCTACGTAACACCAAACTCATGTCATGCAAGGGACATTGAATGAAGAGTCGCGTTACACAATCGTCGCAGGCAGAGGAATGTAGTGATCCGGTTGCATATGTTGTGGTTAGGTGACTGCCCTTATCAATATTAACGACTCATCATATTATGAATGAGTAAGTTTTAATTAGTGTAATATGATGAATTCAAATATACGGGGATTCCGGAGATCATGGCCTGAAATCTGGGGGTCTACTCTCGATCTCCGTCCGACATCCGTCCGAAACAATTACTGTCAAATAAGCAATACTCGACCAAATGAAAAGACGCGTGTTGCGAATGAAGCTTC